GGTTCCATAATTAAGGGTATGTTCTGCTCTTGCAGGGGATTGGAGATCAGTTCCCAGCACCCATGGCTCACGGCTTACAGCCCCCCCTAATGTAACTCCAACTCCGAACTACAGCTCCTGGGAACCTAAGGCCCTCTTCTGGCCTCTTCAGTCACCTGTACACACAGCGTACATTCACACAAATGCACACACATACACATAAAAATAAACTTTCTTTTAAAAAGAGAGGGATACGTTATAATCTTTATTTCAATTCTTTATCTCAATTTCAATTCTTTACCCAAATTTTAAAGTTGTAAAAAAGTAGGAAAGGAGATGCAATATGTTTCTTATAGAATGCTTAGGCAAAATGCAGTGATGTGGTGGGCTTGTGCCTATGATCCCAGTATTCCAGAGGCTGAGGGAGAATTGCCGTGAGTTCAAAGCCAGCTTCAAGACCAGCCTGGGTTACATATTGAGCTTCAAGCTAGCCTGGGCTATAGCATTTTGACATTATCTTTTTTAAAAGAGAGGGGAAGGAAACCTATGGGGACAACACGTGTAATCCCAGTACTTCAAAGGTACAGGCAGCAGGATCACAAGTTCAAGGCCATCCCAGCTTCATACTGAGTTTTAGACCACCCTAAGCTATACGAGAACCTCTCAAAAAAATCATTATAATATCATAATCAAAATAAATTACTCAAAATAACTGTGGATGAGATAAACATACACCTCAATTGGTGGAGTGTTTGCCTAGCTTGTTTGAAGCCTAGCACCACCCAGGGAGGGATGGATGGTGAAGGCCTGTAATCCCAGCTCTTGGGAAGTGGGGGTGGAAAGATCAGAAGTTCAAGGTTATCAACACAGGGAATCAGTCTGAATAAATAAACTAACTGATTAAAAGGGTAACAGAAGAGTAACTCGGGACTTCCTTAATCTTTGTTTTATTGCCAGGCACCTGGAAGGTCTTATTGCTGTCCTACTGTCTTCCTCTATCAGACATAAGTTTCACAAGGGCAAAGCCTTATTTTCAGTTCACAGAATTCAGTCATAAATTTGCTGAATAAGCAGATGATGAACAGTTAGTCCTCAATCCCTCTATTCCCTTCCTGAGCACACAGTACACACATGGCCACCTGTTAACATCAGCGTCAAATTCTATTATCTCTGAACCTTCCAATCTCTTTTCTCCTTACACAGTGAATGTGGTCCTTACCAACTGTCTGAGAACATTTTCCCTCTACATGCATGAACACGTGTGTGTGTGCGCGCATGCACAGTGCACCGTAGCATTCTTATAACCTTTCTCTCCTTAAGGGAAAAGACCTGGGTATCCATGTAAATAAGGGTGTCTTATCCAGGGACACAGCAGTGCACACCTTAAATCCAGCACTCTGGAGGCAGAGGCTGACAGATGTCTCTGAGTGTGAGGTCAGCCAGATCTAAACAGTGAATTCCAGGCCAGCCATAGCTACAAAGCTGCCTCAAAATTAAATGACTAAACAAAATAAATAGCATGCTTTTAATAAATTTGCATGTAAGTTTATTTGGAAATTCACTTAATAACGTCAACATTTTATGATTTACCTCTCCCAGTTCAAAATGGGCCATAAAACTGTAGTGGGTCCTTCTACTTTAAATGTATCTCTGGGAATTAAGTTTTATGTTTTCATAGAGCTGTGTAATCATAATAATCTATTCCCTCACCCCTAGATTGTATTTTTTTAATGTAACAAAAAAAAAACCTGACTTTGTGATAACATGAGACCTACGTAATTAACTAATACCAATCAGGAAGGAGGTGACATCTTCTTGTTGTTAAAGTATCAAGGGGTATTTTTCCACTTATGCCTCTTTCCTCTCATGCCAAGATGCATCCCATTTCCTCCTATGCTGGTCATACCCTGGCAAGCTTTTATTTTTGTGTGTGCCTGTCCTCAGTAATCTGCCGCAGATTCTTCTTTTGAAACCCTCTTGTTTTCTCCGGTCATACATTTGATTAAATTTCTACCCTCCTATCTCCATCAGTCTGTGTAAGAGAATGACCCTCTTCTTAAAGTGTAACCCTGCTTCTTTACCTTCTGCCAGCCTTCACGACTCTCCCTCCCTTCACAAGGCCAACCATCTATCTGTGTGAATGAAAGAAATGTATAAAAATAACAGATTACACAAGTCATCAGGGGGAAATGACGTCTGGCTTTGAAATATATATCGCTTTGGGCAAGATTTACGTTATGATTTTGCTTAAGCCAACACTAGTAAAATTTTTCTTTTATGATGGCAGATATCAGTCTCACTTCTACATCTGATGCAGCTACCGCTGTAGAGCCAGCAAAGCACCAAGTGTTTCCTATGACGCCCTTTTACCATGTTCAATCTGTTTAAATATGTCATAAAACTCGTTTTCTATAACCCTTGGTTATCTTTTGGGGGGATTTTAATCCAGGTGAGATTTCCCTATATTAATCTACTTCAAGTCATGGTATCTTCTGTTTGAGAACTCAAAGCATTTAAACAGCACTGAAGTCGATCCAGGTAAGACACAACAGAAAACTGTCTGTTGGAAATTCCAGGAACACATGAGACTCCAGGATAAAATACACTGCTAAATTATAACAAGTTGTATTTGGCAGGGCTTTATGATTGGTTGAAAATAGAAAAGGCTTAACAATGAATATTTATATAAACTGGCTTCTTCAATACATAAAATCCATATAATGAAAATCCTATGAAATTCAATTTCCTAATTCAGGCAGGTATAGAAAAAAACCATATTTTAAAACCCTAACACCATTCCTGCCCTTCTCTTAACTCTAGCCAAAGCCCACCTACTTTTTTTTTTTTTAAGGTGGGGGTAATGTGGGACCTCACCTGACTCTAGTCCGTACCTGCTCTGAACCTGCTGGCCTCAGCCTCCTCTTTTCCATTCCAGAAATAAATTTTTAATGTGGAATAAGGGGGTGGGGAAGAGGTTACAGGCTCTTCCTTTTTGCCCCCTTCTCAATCACTATAAATAAATCTTTGACCAAGCAGACCAGGGGGTTCTCTGGTTAATTTCATATTAACATTTAAATTTTATAGGTACTCAATTACATTCATCAACCTTAACCAAAGGACAAGAGCTTCCAAACTGAACAGAGTAGGGGAGCTGGGAGACTGTGCACCTCTATTCCTGGCCCTGTCTATTATAATTTACCACCTGAAACACTGAAGTAAAAATCAACACATCTTTAAGTCACGTATTTCATTGGAGTTGCTGACATACCAGAGACTAAACCAAGACAAAACAGGAAAACTGTAAATATCGTTACCAACACTTTATACTTATTAAACAGCAACTTATTCACTAATTACTAAAACTCTAAAGTTATTTCTAATTTTCTCTCCTCGTGGAACTCTGATAAACACAAATTACTGCACCTAAAAACTAATTCAAGTTGCAGTTAATCAGCCTGAATTGGTACGAGATGGTAAATGTTAACAAGAAATAGCAACTTCCCGAATCGTCTTCAAACACAATAAATTATTCTTAAAACACAGACAAAACCCTTTTGCAGTGCCTAATCACAGTTTGACTAAAACACACAAAGCCACAAATACTTCAGTTTTCAATTTACTTCTCCACGTTGCTGGCTTTCACCAAATACAGAATTCTACAAACCTTAATTACAGCCTCCCAAACTGTGCTCAGCAATATATGTGATTGTCAAGTAATTTAAAAAGCAATTAGCTTAACTGTTAGGCTTTTAAAAATCCTTCTCTTGAAATTTTACCTTTAAAAGTCTCTTCGCAAGGGAGATGAAAAGATGTAGGTCTTTTGAGGAAGCAGTTGTCAACTGGTGGCTCAGGAGACTTTTTCCCGACAGTCTATTTCCCAAATGGTTAGAAAGTCTTTTATGGATGGCAAATTACACTTACAAACGCACACATGCATACACGCTCACGCACACGCGCGCGCGCACACACACACACACACACACAGACAAGAAACATACTTGATCATTTTCAAAACAGGTTTGATAGGTTTGATTCCGTTCTAAGAGCACAGTATTTACTTACAATCTTTTAAAGCAAAGTGGCAGCCAGAGCACTGGGTAAATAAAAACTTCCGACGTTTTAAAACTCTCAACTCACTCCCTCTTGGTTCCAGGGGAAGGCACAGCCAACCCCACAGCAAATGCGATTATGCAACAGGTTTTTCCTCTCTAATCACGGGCTGATTAGAGGTGTGCGTTCTCCCAACAATCTGAGACACCCAGGACTTCAAAACACCAAGGAGCTTTGCAACAGACGCTTAAGAAAGTTCTTTCGAATTCGGCAGTAGCCATTCATTTTAAGATCTCCTTGTACTTTCCCCGAGTTTATTATCAGCTTTCTGTAGGAAACGAAGCCAGCACCCGCTCTTAAAAAGTTTGCATACACGTCCCCCAGAATGATTTTTCTTACGTGAAAAGACACGATCCACAGACCGTCCGTTGTCTCCCCATTTTTGTTTTCTTTTTTTATTATTACTGTTATTGTCTCACATTTTACAGCTACTGTAAATAAAGTAGTCACCGCTGCACCACCGTTTCCCCCCAGCACGACGGGAGTCCCAGAATGAAACTTGAGATTTGGGGGGTGGGTTTTTATTGGGGGGGGGGTTGAGGAAGCGCCACCGTCACTCCCCAGGTGGCCTGGCCGCCTCCACCCAAGGTGAATCTAGGATCATGGAAACAGGCCGGGGCCCCACTTGGCAGGCGTGTTGTGTAACAGTCTGGAAGTGAGCAGCTTCGCCCGCCCAGGTGTCCGTGCCCCGCGCCCGGCAGCTCGACCCGACCCGGCTCGCCCAGGCTGGGGTGCGGGGGACCCCGAGCGCCCGTGCGTCCCGGCGCGCGGCTCGGCCCGACCCCCAGCGCGGCCTACACACCCCTCGTCGCCGCCGCCGCCAAGGCTCGGGGCTCCGGGCCGCAGGGAGCAGCCGGCACGAGGTGCGGACGCGTCTCCCCGCCAGCCCGCGGCCCGCCGCGCACACTTACTTGAGGGGCCGCCAGGCTCCAGGCTCGCTCGGAGGGCAGCGAGCGTTGTCACCGCGTCGCCCGCTCGGCCGTCGCTCGCGCGTCCTCCTCGCCGCCGCGGCTTCCACTCTGAGGGGTGGGAGGAGAGCTTAGCGAGAGCCCGGGCGTTTGCAACTTTTCTTCACTTTCTCTTCCACCGCCCCCCGAAAAGGAGAGAAGAAGGGAAAGGAAAAAAAAAATGTCGACAGGGATGAAGGAGTTGAGGAGGTAAAGTTGGGGGTCCGCGCGGGAAAAAGCGGAGAGGGGGAGAATAAATGGTGGAAAATGGGATGGAAGCCCCCCAAACGGTGATACCCGCAGGAGGGGACAGGGGGGGCAGGGTGGGGGTTGGGGAGAGAGAAAGAGTCGCTGGTCAGGAAACTTCAAGCGCGGATGAGGTCATTGGTTTAAAAATAAAGAGATGGCGTCACTTGAAACCAATCCCAGTGAATGAACTCAGCGGAGCCCGGGGGGAAAGGAGGAGACAGGCGAGGGCAGGGCGGGGGGCGGGGGCGCCAGGCGGGGCCACGCGTCGCCCGCCCCTCAGCGCTCGTCCCCGCGAGGCGGCCTCTCGGGAGGCTCCGGGCGGAGGGCGCGGGTCACGTTCCCGACCGACCGACCGACCGTCCGCTCCGAGGCAGAGCCCGGCGGCGCGCGCAGGTCGCTCGCCCGCGGTCTCGGCTGCTTGCTGCGCGCGCGCGTGCGCGCTTCTCGTCGCTCCGGGTTCGCGGCCCTCGAGCGCGGGTCCGCAGTCCGCCCGCTCGCGCGGGGGTCGCTCCCTAAACCCCCCACGCTCGTGCAACGAAATCACGATGATCCGAATCTGGGGCCGTCGCTTGGTAAGAAGGTTCTGGAATCCAAAATCCAGGGCTCTTCTCTTGAGAGGGAAGTCGCAGGTACTTTAAGGAAAACTGCACGCACACGTGTTGGCAGACATTTGCCTACGCCTTCGTCCTTGAAAGGGAAGGCTCTTTTTACGGTAAATCTTTTCTGCTGGCCCTCGAGATGGCTCAACGCGTGGACAGAAGCGCCTTTGAAGGGTGACCTCAGAACACTTATGCCACCCCAGCCCACCCTACCCCCAAATTAATAAAATGTAATAAAAACTTGAAAGGTGACTTCTCGTTCCTAGCGCCCACGTGGCAGCACACAACCATCTGTGACTTCAGTTCCAGGGGATGCGATGCCCTCTACTGGCCTCCATGGACACCGAGCGGGCACTTGGTGCACGGACACGCGTGCAGGCAAACCCCCCATACACCTAAACTATTTCCTACATCGGTAGTACACCATCATCTTTATTTAAGTCACAGCAGAGTTCACTTTCTCCCAGAGATGCGAGACCTAGCTGGCTTCACTCCCAAGTCTCTCGTGGTTTCCCCCCCTCTTCAAAGTAGCTTTGTTTTGAAACACTACATACTTCGGAAAACTGGAGACCCGAGGTGGCGACAACCCAGGAATCTCAGCCGCTGACTCAGACAATCGAAGCTTTATTCCCGTGTTCTTTTAGCATTTGCGCACGAAGGTGCTGCTTCTACGGAAGCCTCACGTGGCTATCACATAACGAAGATGAGATTAATGATGAAAAAGCACACTTCGAGTGGACGGCCCCGTGGGCCAGTCCTAAGTAAGAAGAATTTACCCCTCCAAACATGCCTTTTGCGGTTGCTGAAGCAGGGACTCTAGCCCTTCTCAAGGCAGTATGTTGAGGTACATCGATGTGGGCACTGCCTAGGGGGGGCTTTTTTTAATTGGCAAAAGAACTAAGGAGCAGTCTAAAGTGGATTAGAAAGATTATACCGTTCTGTTAGAACTCTTCTGCTTTGAAACCCTGCAACAAAGGTGCATCCGTTAGGACTGGCAATCATTAATCACTTAAGGTAACCATTACGGAGTGTGCCTCTGGGTACTTTGAGTTCATCTTCCAAGGGAGGAAAGGGAGCCCATTTGGAGGCGAGGGCAGCAGAAGACTTGAAGCTGTCCGTACAGTTTAGAGGAGGGGGTGGGTGCCTTTGACCTCTGGCAGGCTTGAGGAGAGGGGGCGTGTCCGGCAGCTCTGTCATCTGGTGGCAGGACGTGGTACTGCAGCTTCACTGAGCCGACCCGTTGACCACCTAAAAGGCAGTGTTTAGAGTCTGGAGTAGTTGAAGAGGTTCTGCATCCTCAGCCCCGGTAGCCAGAGGTGTTGGGGTTTATTGGAAAGAAGGAACAGAGGCGCGGGGTGTGGCTCTCCCCTGGTTAAAGAGTCAGAAGAACTGGATGGTGCATGCCAAAGCTCCTAAAACTCTGCCGTGACTGTCACATCGCCAAAGTTACTGCCTCTTACTTCACTCATGCAATTAAATTATAATGCTTTCCCTGTGTGTGCTGTGGGAGCCATGCTGGGGGCATCGTGCTTTCCCTGTGTGTGCTGTGGGAGCCATGCTGGGGGCATCGTGCTTTCCCTGTGTGTGCTGTGGGAGCCATGCTGGGGGCATCGTGCTTTCCCTGTGTGTGCTGCTGTGGGAGCCATGCTGGGGGCATCGTGCTTTCCCTGTGTGTGCTGCTGTGGGAGCCATGCTGGGGGCATCGTGCTTTCCCTGTGTGTGCTGCTGTGGGAGCCATGCTGGGGGCATCGTGCTTTCCCTGTGTGTGCTGTGGGAGCCATGCTGGGGGCATCGTGCTTTCCCTGTGTGTGCTGCTGTGGGAGCCATGCTGGGGGCATCGTGCTTTCCCTGTGTGTGCTGCTGTGGGAGCCATGCTGGGGGCATCGTGCTTTCCCTGTGTGTGCTGCTGTGGGAGCCATGCTGGGGGCATCGTCTCTGGCTATGACGTAACCAGGAGATAAGACATGGATTAAAGCTAAGGCTGAATTAATGATTAAGTGGAATAAGATAGCGGTTAAAACAAAGAGTTCAAAGGTCAGAAAGTGGAGGCAACCTAGACTAACTACATAATGAGGTCATTTCTGAAAAATAAAAATAAAGCCTGGCGTGGGGATGCAGGACTTTAATCTCATCCTCGACTAGAAGAGACCAGCAGATCTGAGTTCAAGTCCAGCCTGGTCTACATATGGATTTCCAGGCCAGCCATGCCAACATTTTAGTCTTAAAGAATAATAATCATATTCGTAATAATAATAATTGAAAAAAGAGTTGAGATATGTAAGGGTGTCTGGGAGGGTGGGACAGAGACAGGGTCTCACTATGTTCCTAGAATTCACTCTGTCGACCAGGCTGACCCTGAACTCAAAGAGGTCTACCTGCCTCTGCCTCCAGAGTGTTAGGATTAGAAGGGTACACCACCAGGTCCAGCTGTGGCTTTTTTAGGGGGAGGCATCTCAGGAACAGTTCACACCTCCTTAGAGAATAATTAAGGATTAGTTTGTAACAACAACAACAAAAAGACTCAGTGAAAAGACTATCTGTTTATTTATTTATTGCCTTCTAAGACAGTTCTCCCTCTGTAGCCGGGGCTGATATGGAACTCACTGTATATCCCAGTTTGATCTCAGACTAAAGCCATCCTCCTGCCTCAGCTGCCTAAGCACTGGATTATAGGTATGAGCCACCATGGCTTCCATGAAAGTGGAACTGGAAATGAAATGAATAATGCGTGTTCAGGTGACAAAGGAGTAGACCCTCCCCATAATAAGAGACTTGGGTTTTAGCAATTAGATATGAGGTCAAGTTAAAGATATTCAGAAGTACGTAATAGAAGCACTTGAATGTTAGGATAAACACTAGACCAGCAGGGTAAAGAAAAACCATTGAGCAAATTTACTTTACTGAATTTTTCCATCTCTCTTCCCTCACTGAACACACACGTGCGTGCACATACACAGAGAGAGAGAGAAAGAGAGAAGAAGAAGAAGAAGAAGAAGAAGAAGAAGAAGAAGAAGAAGAAAAACATTTTTAGTGCTGATGGAGGAAGGTCATTGGTTAAAAAATAAAGAAACTGCTTGGCCCTCATAGGTTAAAACATAGGTGGGTGGAGTAAACAGAACAGAATGCTGGGAGGAAGAGGAAGTGAGGTAAGACGCCTCGGACAGACGCCATGCAGCTCTCTCCAGGGCAGACGCAATGCAGCCAGCCACCAGGACAGACATGCTGAATCTTTCCTGGTAAGCGCACCTCGTGGTGCTGCATAGATTAATAGAAATGGGTTAAGAGGTTGAAACTAATGGGCTAGGCGGTGTTTAAAAGAATACAATTTGTGTGTTGTTATTTTGGGTAAAGCTAGCTGGTGGCGGGAGGTAGGTGGCGGAATGCAACCCGCAGCTCCTCACAACATAGTGCTTTACAGTTGCACCAAAGAACATTAACCTATTGGTTGTTGTTGTATTGAAATCAGAGACTCAAGTACCAGAGACTAACCTCAAACTGAAAATGACCTTGAACTCCAGAGCCTCCATGTGAATGGAACTGTAAGCATAGGCCACAATGTCCAGCAAAGAATATGAACTTTTAAAGCATAAGTTAACAAAATGTAGAGAAAAAAGTCTATAAGCTGTAAGCTCGAATTATAAAATTTTCATGAAAACTATTTAACCTGATTGGAAGGAAGAACCAGTACAGTAGTATTTTTATAAGTATAGTGAAGATATCAGTTCTTCCAGAAAGAGTTAACAAGCTTAAACTAAAACAATGCTCAGCACTTAGAGGACTCAGTGCTGGATTCCCCAAAGGCCAACAAAGAACTCCAACTCTTAGGGTACCAGCAAAAGAGGGGCTCCAAAATCTTCCAATCTGATAACATAAATATCTCACCTCTGTACATGCCTGTTTAGTGCTGTTCTTAGCATAAAATAGGAGCACCAGAATATTTAGTTGGAATTAAATATGGAAAGCTATGACCTATACCTGTTTAAAAACAAAGTCAAAACAGGTGGATTTTCAGAGTTTTAACTAGCTTGAGCTTCATAAAGAGCCCCATCTTTTGTTGAGGTGTCCTTCTCCTAATGTTCTGGCCCGGCCAGTGTGTGGTACACAGGTGATTCTGGCATCCAGGAAGCTGTGGCTGCACCAGCACGGCGGCTCAGTAGGTAAGAAAAAAAAACCCTGTTGACCTGAGTTCCAACCTGGGACCCACAAGGAAAGAGGGGGCTTCTGATTTCCATCTGTCTTCTGGTCTCCACACCCGGCATGTTTGTCCTTGCTCCTGTGGGGTTGTGTACGTGTGTTTGTTTGCTTTTACATTTATTTATATAACAGAAGTGTGTCGTGGTAAAGGTTAGAGAACAACTTGCCAAAATCACTTGTCGCCTACAGTGTGGGACGTA